TTGAACATGTCTGCTTCTCTGGGTCTGTTTTAGCCAACAGAGCTGTGAACACACTTGTCAGCAGCAGACGCCTGTTGAAGCTCCGCTGACAGCTGCCTCTGCAAATAGCTGGAGATGTGGTGTGAACCTTCACAGCCCGTCCAGCAGGGCGCGCCGCGTCGGGGGGAGAACAGGCAACAGGCATGTGATACAGAGGTGTACTTTCAGCACACACGTTTAGGAGGTGTAGACCTTTTCTTTTTTGATGCGTTAATGTATCTGTAAGTGATGATAATGTTTTAAAGACTTTAATTGATGCTGTGTCTCACTAAGAAGTAGCAGACACTTGTGTGCTCCACAATAAAATGGGGAATTAAAACCTAATTTTTGACAATATTCTGTGTTATCATGACTCTGTTTGTTGTACACGCCCACACAGAAACAGCATTCATTTGATTTGCCAGAAGGAAATAGTGCGATTCACTTGAGTAGTCCCCGGACATGAATCTAAAGACAGTGGGGAGCAAGCAGTGCAATCAAGTGATAAAGCTTATTATCTGAGAGCAGCTATATCCTAAGACTTATTATCGAGCAGGAGTTAAATGACTTTCAGGTCCTCAAAGGCCTGGTGGCCTGGATCCACTCACAGAGACTGGGAGGGAGAGAGGGGGAGGATAAGAAAGAGAAATAGGAGGGGAGGAGAGAGAGAGTGAGAGTGAGAGATAGAGGAGGTGGTGAACAGGTGAGGACAACATGAGTGCACAGAGGACAGAGGGGAACCAAAACAAATATTAGAAAAATGGAAGAATAAAAGTTGACAACATCTTGAAAAAGAAAGTGATGTAGGTGGTGTTTTGACCAGAACCCGTGAAAGCAATTTTCTGCTTGAGGTCAGAAATATATAGTTGTTCATAAAGTGACAGTGCTGCGTTTTTGGAGTGGCTTCGTAGTTTATAGCTCAGATTCTGTGGATGTTTTATGGCTCAAACTGCACCTTGGCAGGACTGTTACACCACATAACACAATAAGCCACCTGTTGTTTAGTGTACAAAGCAGTAACAGGTGTACACAGTATTTATAATAATCAGACTGTCAGGAGTATTTCTGGGTTGTAAACCCACAGTATGTAATTTTCTGGAAATGGCACTTACATAATCCCATGGAAATTGAATCTTAAAACCAAACTCTGAAATTCTCCATGGAGATAATAAATGGAGATTTATTGTGGAATATTATAGCCAAAGGAACAACATTTCCATGGAAATAAGTGGGAAGATGACCTTTCTCCAGGCCATATAAGAGTCAGGTTTGTGGAGATGCAAGCCTCACAGTAAGGACTCATTTTAATGTTTTTCAATCCATGAAATACAACCAAACTGAAAGAAAAAAACATGATTTTATTTGATTCTATTTTTCTGGCTATAAAGTTACATACTGTGGCTGTGTTTTTGAATAGACAAAGTTTAGGTTAATTATGCAGAGTGAGCTTGCAGAGACTGTTAAGTGATATATCTCCAGCTACTGTTGAAAAGCCAAATATGGAATGAGCTAAGTGGTGTGTAACTGTGAGCCTTGCAGCAGCCTATTACAGTGCACTCGCTCCCAGCCTAAAGAGTGTTAATGAGCAGAGTGCAGCCATGTTTGCCCAGTGCCTCTTTTACACATCCACACACATCCACACTGTGTGCATATGCTAATATAAGCACTTTACTGCCATCCAAAGATGAACAGGTTTATTTGAGCTGCAAACACTGCTTAGACCATTAGCACATAAACTACTACTGTGCAGGACCCTTCATTCATCACACATACTTTAATTGTATCCCAAACAAAGCAGACACACAACTGCTCCCAGTGCACTTGGTTAAGATTATTCTTTATTATGAAGTGCCACAAAATGCTTTGTGTTCATTGTGCTTACATTGTCTGAATACTGGCTCAAAAATGCTCCCTGTGCAACAGAGAGGCAAACCTCAGGAGTCTATCAGATATCACTGTACAGCATAAAAACATCTCCAAAACCCTCCTGCAGGAAGTTCAATTAGGTTAGCATCATTCTTTAACTCGGAAATACAAAAAGAAGAGGTTAAGCTAGTACAAGGTTTAAATTCTTCTCTACCTGAATTCTAGTTAGTTTCATTGTGCTACTTTCTGTAAGGTGGACATGACTAGAATGGAAGTGCTTAAGAAACAGAGGTGGATTGGAGCCAGAGGCAGAGAGACTGACACACAGCACTTTGCTGGGAGGCACAACAACAGCTGCGGGATGTTTGGATGCTCCCATAAGTCACAGGCATGTTTTCATTACCGCTGTCCCTATCACCGGCACCACACGGGACCACAGCACTGCACAGCTCACTTCCAGCAGAGTCGTGTTCAGCTGTAACACTGTGGACATGACAAAGGCCTCTGATTAACCTTGTACATAGCTGTGTTTGGGAGCATGACTGATACAACGATGAAAATGCATGTCAGAGTGCTGTGACTAACACCCTCACACAATTAGAGTAATTGCATCTTCATTCACGTTCACACAAAGATAAGACGTCTCATTTGTGATTTCCCCGCTCACAACAGAACTGTGGCTTTCAAAAGGAGAGGATTTTAAAGAGGCCTTTGTCAATGGATTGAACAGTCTCTACTCTGAGTTATTTGACTGTGAGCACTCTGCAGGACCTGTGTCACAACTCACTGCCTTTAATGTATGTTAATGAAATTATGCAATAGGTGCGACTGTACTGAAGGACAGGGCGTTCATCTCTGCAGCTCCAAAGTGCTTTGTCCTTCCTCCTGACCTGCTCCTCTCTCTCTCTCACTCTTGTTATCTCTCCCACTCTCTTTCGCGCTTTCTTTCACTCTAATTCTCTCTTATTCTCCCTCTCCCTCCTGCTCTCTCTTTCTCTCTTCCTCTTTCTCTCTTTCTCACTCTCATTCTCTTTCTCCCTCCCTCCCTGTGTGTGGAGACATATGGCGTGTCAACATACACATGCACTCACATGCACTCTGTGTGTCCTCACTCTGCCTCGTGGGAAGCTCCATAAATCTGTCTAAAGTCTGTGAGCTGCACAGAGCACCGGCACTGGCCAAGGTCAAAGGTCAAGTGTGTGGGGTCACGGTGGAGTGCGCCTGTCTGTGGGCTACTTGTACACACTACACTGGGAGACTCCGGGTCTGTCATGGCTCTGGGTGCATGCACATTTCGATAGAGGAGTTTATTAGGTTCATGATAGTTTAGATTTTGATGTCGTCATTTGAGATGGAGGGCAGGGGGCTGTTACTTGGTAATGGGTAATTTGAAAGAATCTGAAAATCTACAAAAGTTAAAGATTGGATACAGAAATTTGTGATATTCTTAAGGTTTTTTTGAACTGGTAACTATGTCTTTTTTTTGAAGTATGTCACCACTTTTTGATAAAATACAGTTTGTTTCAACATAATTAAGTTTTGAATTGTTATTATCCATGGTTATAATGACATTCTCTTTTCTCACCACCTTATTTGAAAGATATTATTGTTCATGGGATATTATAACCCATGAACATTGGAAAAATATTCCAGCTTAGCTCATAGTTTTTCTTTATGCCAGTTTCTCTTTCATTTAGACCCAGTAATTACAGGCACCTTAACCATAAACCAGGTGAAAACCTCTGCTTTTTAACAGTTAAAATGAAAATTGTTCAACAGAGTCTGACCTGCCCCCCACCTGAAATGGTATGACGTCACATTGAACCCGACCCAATACCGCAGTGCATCTGGAGCTGACCTGGGTCCAACTGTGACACAGCTGTGAGTCTTATTGCAGGTTAGTTCTTCTGGCTCTTTACTGGAGTTTTTGTGTGTGTTGCGTATATGTCTTATTCTCCCAGCACAGTCTGAACACAGAGCAGTGCATTAGAACCACATAGACCCACGGAACTGAATGGCCAAAGCTCCTGAGCCTGACGTCCAAGAGACCAGGGCCCATGTGCGGAGCCAGAGCGTGCCTCTCTACCCTACGTCTACTGCGGCTCTAAACTACCCTAAGAGGCAGGCAGTGCATAAAGAGAGAATAGACAGGGTTTTCTTTAGTTTCTCTACACTACACTGGCATGTTCCCTGATATCGGTAATATTAGTATTCTTCTCTTTCTGACTATAGGTGAAGTAAAACATACCTGATTTAAACTGAGATACAGTAGTAGGTAATACTTCATAAGTTCATCGTAAAATACCATGCATTAGGTGATTATTGCTTTTAAAGAGTCCTACGGAGGCTCCAAGAGAAAAATATTGCCCTCGGGTTCTATCTATAGGATTTTGGCAAATCATAAGCTTTTTATGATGTTGGCATAGATTTCATCATTTTTTGCATGCAATAATATCAATGAAAGCAAAATAGAAAAATAAGACAAAAAGTGACATATGCTTTGGCCTGATAAAAAAAAAAAAGTCAACAAAAATACAACCTACAGATACAGAAATTAAAGTGCAACCCATCTCCAAACACACGGTTGACAAATCAAGTATAAATAAATAGATAAATAACAGTAGTTAGAATAGAATTGGAATAATTTTAGGCAAAGTGCAAAACAACAAATGAATAAAAAAAAGGTTATTTACCTCAGTATTGGCAAAAATATGGTCACTTGGTGCAGCAGAACATTATTATTATTATTACTACTATTATTATTACTATATTCCCCCCTAGAAAAGAGTTGCACTGTGTGCAAACAAACCCATTGGTTTAGGCTGACGCGAGTCTTTCATCCTCAAACAGACGCAGTCAGGAAGCTGTCTCTGCCTCCCACATCAGAGCAGAGTGAGGAGTGTTCAGGAAGTGCATGCGGAAAATCAGATACATCCTTAAGTGGGCAAATCTCAAGGAGAAAAATTGTGCTATCTTCATCATGTTCATGGTCATTAAAAGGCTCCAGGACAGAGGGCGCTAGTGTACGCGGCTGAGGGAGGCGAGGTCATTTCAGAGCAAAAATAGATGATGTTGTTCATTGTGAGAGCACGGTACAGTCTGGTCCATGTGAAGGGTCATGCATCGAGGGGGCCCAGTGGAGAGAAGGGTCCTTTGAAGCAGGCCGACTCGTAGTGCTTGTTCAGGTAACTCTTGAGGGCAAAGGTCTTGTTGCAGCGTTTGCACTTGAAGTGTTTGAAGGCGGAGTGCGTCTGCATGTGTGCACGCAGGTTGGAGCGGTCGGCGAAAGCCTTCCCACAATGAGCACAGCCAAAGGGCTTCTCCCCTGTGTGTGAGCGCATGTGTCCCTGTAAGAGCCAGGGCCGGCTGAACGCCTTCCCACAGATGTCACACTTGTGCTTGAGGTCATGGGTCAGCAGGTGCATGGCCATGGCGGGCATGGATACGTACACTTTCCCACACGTGGGGCATTTCTTTGCCAGCTTGCTGTCCAGTGAGCGGTGCGTCTGTTTGTGGCGGCTCAGGTTGGAAGACGTGGCGTAGGTTTTACCGCACTCGTTGCAGGTGTGCCTCTGGATGTTGCGGGGGCTGCCCAGGGCTTTTCTCCGAGAGCGGCCATCAGTGATAAAGAAGGCATCCACTGTGTAGCCATCGCTCACTGCTGCTACTCCGTTTATGTAAGCTTCTGTGATCTCTGAGGCTGGGCTGTCCGGAGACTCGGAGTCAGGAGCCCCATAGTCACTGTGCAGTCCATCATACAGAGGGTCTGGAGAGGGCACCTTGATCCCACCATCGCTCTCCCTGTCGTACACCGATGGGCTGATGTAGTCACTGATGTAGCCAGCTGCGAAGACAGACCACCATCACATCAGACACATTATTCCACTTTGAGAAGAACTTGGACATGTCAGAAACTACAGCAGTGCCCTAACATACTGCAGACCTCCAGGTGGTTTATCACTCACTCTGTGATTTGAGCTGCACAGGAACAAACAAGAGCCTCATTAGACCTATGCTGTTGGACACAGCTAACACTAACTAAAGGTAAAGCAGAGAGGGCACCTGCGCCTCTTCATCAAGAGCCAGTGCATTGACTCACAGCTCACAGGAGCTATTCTCAATGTATTTCAACTAGACTACTCCAAGTTTACATCTACTGTTGCTTTATCATGGTAAAAATAAAATTTAAACATCTAGTTTAGCATTTAAAAGATGCTTAAGAGCAATTAAAACTATAGATGTATTTATCAAGGCTTTTATATATGATGTGTATGACTGATGTTTACTGTGATCCCTTTTTGAAGAGCACACTCTAATTGCACTATGCGGTCAACTGCTCTCTATGACTGTTGAAGTGCCAACTGTAACTACCTTTATGAACAGAAACATGTGGAGGCTGAATATTTCTCCGGGAACGTCTGTGTTTGCCTGCACACCTGTGGGCAGCAGCAGTGGAGTCACTGTACGGCGCCTGTGCCGTAACAGCACACAAACCGGCGCGTGCAGGCTGTAAAAGTGCAGAGAGAAGGAGAGCAGCTCAGCGGCTGACCCTGGTCTGGAGAAAGCTGAGGTAGCAAGTGTAAATGAGCATCAGCACCACGGACAGCTCCAGCACTGCGGGTCAATGGCTCCGTGACAGCAGCTGCGCGCGCTCAATGCTGCACTGGGCCTCCTGGCAAAACACACACTGATACACATCCGGGACTTTCCTGCTTCCCAGACGCAGCCCCCGGGTCTGTGCAGGGCTAATGCCCGGGCTTCTGGGGATTGGTGGGTTTAGTGCAAGTGGGGGGTAAGCTTTCTCTTCTCCGTTTACATGAACCAAAGGAGGCCGAGCAATACCCAGAAGTACAATTTGTGTTGTGTTTTTTTTCCACCGAGTCTGGGCTGTCTTTTTGGATGTCATGCAACAAGCTGTATGATATTGCCTCCGCGTGTTGTCACAAAAACAACAAGTTCCTCTCTAAGTCCTGCTGTACACGGCTGCCTCACAAACACAGTGCACGCCACAAAGCTGGGACATGAATAATTCCCAACGCTCCGTTCAGGCAGAAAGCTTCTTTACATGGGCCGCTCTACAGCTGTGTGATGCTGATGTGGGGGAGAGACAAAGGTGGCCGGGGCAGACCGGATTGCGCTGCTCTGCTGAGGCGGCAGATCGCGTGTCAGAACGCTGGGGGCTTGTTAACTTGGTGTTAAAAATACACTGCTGACAGCCACTTAGCTTTGTGAGCCAACATGCCATAACGCACGTGCCATGGCGCACGCGCTTCTGGAATGCCAAAAATCAACTTATAAAATGATAATAAGGCTAAAACGTCGCTGGGTCTTCAACGAGGTCAATTCAACAGTTGGGCCACAAGTTGAAAATGTGTTGACGCACAGTCAACAGCCAAACGCTCAAAGCTAAAGTTGAACAGCGTTTATATGAGCGACGCGATTGGAGTGCGTCACAGAGACAGACGCACGTTCACAGCAGCCCACGTGGTAAAATGAGGGGGTCTAGAGCTTTGTGAAATGTCACAAAAACAATAGACACCAGCAAATGAGGGGAGCATCACACAGCCCATTATGAACTAATGCGCCCATAATCCAAACTACAACAGCGTCTCACTAATTGGCCGAGCCCATAAAGTTGCGCAGACAATAACAGCCTCAGTCCATCTTTATCTCTATTAACCTTACTTAAAGCGCGTAGGGGGTACAAGTCCACACTGACTATGAGCCAAAATCGATGAAACACGGGGAGCGCTGGATTTAGCTGATTTCTCAAGTGACCTTTCCGCTTCAGCGACAGTCGACTCCTCCACTGTTGCTTGAATTCCCTCAGTAAATAAGGCGCGGGCTGCTCTTATTGAGACTGGCACTTCGTTAAAGCGCTGCTGTGGTGCTCAGGGCATCACTCACAAACTCAGATAAAATTAGGCTGATTCAGCAGCTGTTGCACTGCACTTCTCATCCCCGCCCCGTGGCTGATTGGACGTTGCCGCTAATGATCAAATGTTTTCTTCGATTATCAATTATATGGGATACGTCTACGTAGTATCTGCGTTGTGCCACCGCATCCACTGAAGTTGCCAGCTAATTACCTAAAGACAAGCTCAAACAGCACCTGTTATGGCACAACAGGTAGATAGTGCAACATAACAAGCTGATGGGTTTAGATGGAGCGATGCAGTTTGGGGAATATGTGCGTAATAGACGTACCTTTCTCGTGGAGTCTGAGGCTGAGGTCCGTCCGGTGTCGGTATGCGTTCTCCAAGTCCGCCCCGTTGGAGAAATCATCCAGTTTTACCTTCTTCACCAAGAAAGACCTCGGCATGATGGCTTTCTCACGGACTCACACGACACGCAACACGGTCCCACAAAAAGGCCAGCGTGACCCTCTCCACGGACTTAACGTGTTTTATACCTTCCACGTCCTGCCAGCCTATATAGTCCTCCAGCTCCACAACAGCGGGGAACGCAACTTCAGCACCGGACAGCTCCTCCAAACTCGTCCGGGAATAAAAACACGAGGACGAACAAATGCGAAGAGGATCCCGGCTCTTCCTTGGGGTCTCTATCCGCAAGCACAGTCCCTGGTCCCCGCTGCACGGCTCCACAGCATCCCCTCTGCCTTCCTCTGGTTCCCTCGCTCTTCTCTGTGCGCCAGCTCCTCCCGTGTGCGTCTGGCGATCAGCTGTTGGCTTTTATAGGACACACACGCGCGCACGGGAGGAGAGAGGCACGCGGGTAGAGGGAGTGCTTAATTTAATCCATCCCACGTCTCTGGGGAGCGGCGACTGGCCCCGATGATTTATTGAAGCTGTTATCACCCCCCTCTTTCTCTTTCTTTCTCTGTCTTTGAGTCCCCTTCTTCTCCTCATTTTGGTGCGCGTGCGTGTGTGTTTCGCGGAGATAAGAATGGAAATTATTGTTAGGTTTTCATTGATTTGATGCAACCGTCTCACTGAGTGCTCGCTTGATTATTGCAGGATACGGGAGCTTTTGTCTTAAATCACCTGCAAAGCATTAACGTCTCCACGTAGTTTACCGTAGCGATCACCGGCGCACTGAGAGAGACTCGTAATTATCGTAACCTTCAACCTGGAGGCGCACGTGAGCGCGCCAGAAGGATGCTCTGTGTGAGTGGCGGGGAAACGAGGGCGTAAAAAGCACTCACTTTAGGGTCAGCGGGTTCACTGACGTTATACTGTATTATATAATCAAAAGGGGAGAGTTTAGAGGAACCTGCTGCTGGCACAACTTTACACAAAACATTTCAACGCATTTTATGATTATTGTTTTTCATGGTGTGAAAGTCGTTGGACGCAGCATCAGGTGAATCCACAATTGTTCCTGCAGTGATTATTTGATCCACACAGCTCTGTCTGTGAGTAAGACAATGGTTTATATTAAAGGCGCATCATCTCACTTTTCTGGTAGAAGGTCCCCCACCAGCTTGTTTCAAAGAGTGGCATTAAATAAAGGCAAGCAGGTGATGCCATCAAGTCCAGTTACAGGTTGGATCTGTGGAGAGGTGAACCTACTCACTATGCATGATTAAGGTTTATTTTTAGCAGTAAATACCTCTAATTGGATAGATGCATGTCAGATTTGTTTTATGGAACATTTCAGGCAAAACAATAACATCAAGCAGGTAAGTAAGCAAGTTTTTTCTATTTATATAGCACTTTTTCACACACATTTGTCACAAAGACACTTTACAGAGCATTATTTATTCACTCCATACCCGGTGGTGGTAAGCTACTATTGTGGCCACAGCTGCCCTGGGGCAGACTGACCGAAGTGCAGCTGCCAATCTGTGCCATTGGCCCATCTGACCACCACCATTACTCATGCACACACCACTTTCATACTAGGCAATGTGGGTGAAGTGCCTTTCCTAAGGACACAACAACAGTTTTTGTGCCTGGCGCCCCACACTGTGGCACCTGATTTTCCCAGTGGTCTTCCATCCAAGTACTAACCAGGCCTGGTCTTGTTTAGCTTCTGATATCTGACGGGAGCAGGTTTTAACAAGCCGTTATGGCTGGACCTGCCACCATAAATGTTACATAGGGATTGTCATTTAAAGTTGCCTTATGTGCCTGGCATTCTCCACCCAATATCCCTGTAGCAGTAGTTTTAAACTCTGAATGTGATATTGAAAACATGAATATACATGAATGTAAATAAACAGTAATAAATAAACAAATATGAACATTTGCTCATATACAAAGCCCATACTGTATTAATATTGTCACCTGTTTAGTTGCCAGATAGATGAAGGGGAGTGGAGCGTGACACGCCTGTATGAGCGAGTGAGAGTGATCTTTTTGTACCATGACCCCTGTCTTTAAATAAACGCAGTAAAGATGAGGGCTTCCATACATACTGCCATGATGAAAGTATATGAGTTTCACAATTGGTCCATTTGAGTCAGTGTATGGATATTTACATTCCAGTGGAGCCATACACAGCCATAGGAATACAAAAGTTCAAGGTAAGGTTTCACTGAATGATTCCCCTGTATTGATCAGGAGTCATGTGATTCCTACTATATTGTAGCAGGGCGTGTTTGATGGATCGGGGGCGTGTGCGCTCCGACTGGTCCATCTGTTGTCCTTAATCAGAGGGAGACCAGATGAGTCCCTTCACCTGGACGTCCAATTAAACACCATGTTCTGTCAGCGCGCTAAAATAACCCACGGCAATAGCAACATTTCATCATCATTAGGGGGCACATCCATATGGACTTACCAACATGTCCTGCTCCAGCACTTCACAGCACCAACCTGCAAAAACAATAGACTGCATTTACGTTTTAGGATTCGATTATGATGTAATGTGCTAATGAAGTGCTCCACTGTGTTTTCAAACTGCATACACTTCATTAGAATCATTTCGGAATTGTCAATCTTTACTGAATTAAAGGTAAAAGGTCGCTGCTGACTTGAAAACCACTGCTTCATGACATCGCAAGGTGGAGAAAAGCATTTTGAGCTATGGAAATGTAGACAAACACATAATGCAGGGAAACAAAACACAACTCCAGATATGTTTTGGATTATTTAACAATATTCTAACATGGTTTAAAGCTCACAAACTCACTGCAATTTGACAGTTAAAGAGAAAAAAATCCTGACCTGTCCCCGTGCTCAATTTGAAACTCTGTGGATTCTAGGACGTTTTGATGTCATTTGAACCCAACTTTGCAGTGCTTATCTACGCATCACTCTCTGACATGCTTAACCAAGTGCAGCTTTGATCCTCGCTAAACAAACAGATTACAGACATCTGGCTAAACAATAATATCCTCTGTAAAATCATCTTGAACAGCCTGGCGATCAGAGCGAAGAGTGAGTCATCCATTATGTCTGGATGGCACCACGCGGATGTGAGAATACAGCCCAAAGTGTCAGCATAGCACATTTACACACTTTATTTTGGGAGGAAAAGGAGAGATTTAGGCAGGAATTAGGACTTGAAATAGGTTTGGATAGAGACTGGCTCTATCTCGCAATGATAACGCTTCGGGCTACACTTTGGGGGGATGAATCTGGGGACATATTTGCAGTTAAACTAAAATGAATGAATGAAGTGATTTGTAAAAATTATGTATTGGCATAAGGGTAACAATTTTATACTAAACGACTCATATTACGTTATTTTCTGATCTATGTTATGGTGTTTCCTACGGAAGCCGAGAGGGGTCACATCAAACACAAAAGCCGCAACAAATACAAATGTGACAACACAACAAAAAGCCGCAACAAACCAAAAAAAGCCACAACAAACCAAAAAAAAGCCACAATTGAAATGTCCGCGGGACTCTACTTTAATGCAAATGCCGCAACAAATACAAACGCCACAACACAAACGCAAATGCCGCAACACATCAAAAAGCCACAACAGAAGTGACCGCGGGACTCTATTTTCCGACTGACCGATCAAGCGGCAAGTGAAGAAGAACAACTACAAAGTGAAACGAATAATGCTAAAACAATCAATTATTTTTACTTACGTTTCCAACCTCTCCGTTCCTTTACTTTTCAAGTTGTAGTTCTTCTTCTTCACTTGCCGCTTGATCGGTCCGTCGGAAAATAGAGTCCTGTGGTCACTTCCTTTGTGGCTTTTTGATGTTTGTGGCTTTTTAATGTGTTGCTGTATTTGTGTTTGTGTTGTTGCGTTTGTATTTGTTGCAGTGTTTGCATTAAAATAGAGTCCAGCGGCCATTTCCGTTGTGGCTTTTTTGGTTTGTTGCGGCTTTTTGTTGTGTTGTCCCATTTGTATTTGTTGCAGCGTTCACGTTTGTTGTGACCCCTCTCGGCTTCCGTAGTTTCCTCATCAAAAACATACCTGTTGTGTTTTGTTTCACACGCAAATCCAACATATTGGAGCATATCTGAGTTTTTCTCTCAAATTGAAAACACTCACTTGTGATGTCAAGTAGGAATACAGGAAATGCTCCATTGTGTTTTTAAACTACATGCATCTTCACTTGAATCACTAGAAGCATTTTGATCTTTTGAGATGTAGACAGACTAATAATTCAGGATTACTCAAACATGTGTGCATCAAACAAAACACAACCCCAAGTTTGTTTTTGAGGAGGTAACAACATTTTAACATGGCTTAGAGTTCACAAAGAAACAATTTCACATAATATAGGATGATGTCTGTGTAATCCATCAGTTGTCCAAGTAGGATCCAGAGCAAAAGAAAAATTCTGTTTTGTCAACTGAATGAAAGTTACTGATCGAAGACATTTTCAAGCTGCTTCTTCAGTTATAGTCGGATTGCTTTTGTTCAGTTGACAGAATTGAATTTGTCTTTTGTTATAGGAACTTTAATTATGTTACTAGGCCTGAACCATCATAATAAACTACTGGTGCATTAAGAATTACATCATTTTCATGCTTTATTAAGGATAATTAAGTGTAGTTATTGTCAAGTGTCAAAGTAAATTTATAGTCACTTTGTAGTTGACGTTATACCAGCCATTCGAATGTATAAATCCCTCGACCGAGACAGTCTAGACCTATAGAAATCACCCATAAACAGTATTTCTCCTTGACCTCATGCATTGCGGCACCAGCCTTCATTACAGCGTGATGTGGTCCACTTCTATACTTGAATCAACACTATTAAATATTTGAGGTAAGCAGAGTCATGTGACGAGAACATAGTGACATAAAAGCAGTGATTGATGCCGGTTTCGTCACGGGACGCAGCGTAGTGGGACGGGGGCATGTTTCGGACACTGACCTGCTCCACTGACCAGCTGTTTTGTGCGTGTGTGTGTTTGTATGTGTTTTTGTGTACATCGAAGCACCG